AAATTTTTTATTGTTAATTTCTCAGAAACTTTCATTCTTGACAAAAGTTATTAAATAGTCAAAAACCTTCGTAAATTATGAAATGTTTAAACAATATACGAGGGAGGTCATATAAATATAGGTGTAAAATTAATTTTTTTTTAATAATTCCGAATTTTCTTGATAACATCTTTTTTGAAATACAACATAAGTTTTGAGTTGCTGTTTAATATTTAGCAGTATTAAGACATCTACTTAAGCAAATTTTCGGCTACCTATTTTAAATTTAATTTATTTTAAAGATACTGTTTCTTGAGACTATTTTATAGAAATAATCAAAAAATTCTACTTGTTGACACCCATCGAAAAATAATATTGTAACTTTTTACTTCAAGGCCTAAAGTTTATGTTTATTTTTAAAAACATGGATGGAGTGTTGTTCTTGAGCAACAAAAAATCGTAATAGACAGGCGCTGTAAAAAGTAATAGATTTCAGGAAAAGGTAATAGATTTGGAGTAAATGGTAATAAATATCTTTTTATAGGATTCCTATAAAATTTGGCGCAAGCGCGCATATCAAAATTTACTTTTTTTTTAAACGTCACAAAAAATACGTCAGTAATAATCCAAATTTTTTAAGCATGCGCAGTCAAAAGATAGTAATTTTTTAAATTGACTGCGCATGAGAAATTTTCTCAGGCATTTTTCTTGAATAAATCGTAATCCCGGTGAGAGGGCGTTACGAATCAAACGGCTTGTTGGGTACCGCATCTGTTGACCGAAGAACAAAAAGAAGCTAGAGTAAATTGGTATCAAAAAATTCTGGAGCGCTTTAACGCTAGAAGCTCTAAAAATGTGTACTGCATCGCAAGTAGTGATAAATCATGGATTTACTCACATGAACCTGAAAATAAACGTTAATCGTCTGTTTGGGTTTTCCAAGGTGAGGACAAGCCGACAAAAGTGATCCGTTCTCGAAGTGTGTCTAAAAATATGGTCGCAACATTTGTCTCCAAAGCACATCATGTTGCAACAATTCCTCTGCAAGAGCAAAGAACTGTTATTGCCGATTGGTATATAACGATTTGTTTGCCAGCAGTCATCGCTAAGCTTCGGGAAACCAACCCCAAACGACGAATCATCCTCCTTCAAGACAATGCAAGTGCGCACACAGCTCGCAAAACAATTGCCTTCATAGAGCAACAAAACGTTGAGTTGTTAGACCACCCTCCTTACAGTCTCGACCTAAGTCCCAACGATTTTTTTACCTTTCCGAAAATCAAGAACGCACTACATTCCAAAAATGCATTATTGTTACAAAATGTAAAGAGAAACTTTTTGGCGATTTCTATTATTTCTAGTACTCATAGGTACCTAAAATGATTTCGTCACTCACCTTGGAAAAAAATGTAGTAGATTGGCTTTATTCTTAGTCGCTGCTTGCAATTCTTCTTCAATTCTCTTGGATACAATAATGTAAGACTTTGCTTGTAATTTATAATTTCGCCACACTTAGTTAACTAACTTTTGTACAATTTGTACTTTCGTACTTGTATGAGATTTTTTAAAACTTTCAAACAATTTTTGGTGTAACTTGGATTTGTCTATTTGAAACATCTTATTTAAACATTAAACTTTGGCTAATGGAATCAACGGTAACACAAATGTTAACTTGTTTTGCTATGCTTACAATACGTCTACTTGGTATAGTATCCAAACGAAACAGTACACTGGTAGAGGAAATTTAAACAAGTGAATAGCGTGCGGTAATTCCCCTACTCGGTTCTAAAGCGAGTGCCTAAACGTATGCATTATTTGCTGGAATCCCCGAAATGCGTTTCGTTTTCAAGCAGAGACAATGTGAAGGTTTCCATTCCTGTAAAAAAGTAAATAACTACCGATGACGTAATCATCATCTAGACTTCCCCACCCCCCATGTCATCCATAGAGGATCAAATTTCTCATAAACTCTTGTAAAGAATTTTCAAAACTATTTTTGTATAAATTATTTATTAGGTGTAAAATATTTTATACATTTAAATTTAAGAATAGGGATTTAAAAAGTTACGGTTCAATAAAAAGCAAACAAGGTACACGTAAATTAAAGAACTTAATGCATGAATGAAACATTTACCTGTTTAAATACTTATTTTTTAATAAATAATTTAAGATTTACACGTTGTTTCAATCTCTTTTTCCATTGGCCATAAAAATTTATTAATTTTTCGGGGATATGTAATTAGAACCAAATAAATTAAATAATTAAAATCTTTTAAAATAAACGATTTTATTAGGGTCGTCAGAACACTAACATAGAAAAATATGCACTAAAAAGTGAGCAATATGTAAACCTGACAAATAACTGCTAAAAGAATATTCGTAAACTAACTAACGCACTCAAGTAGGTACCCAGTAATCTTGCCTGATTTAAACCATCAACTCTGCACTATCTCAAAGATTATGTACCATTGACAAAAGTACTAATTCTTTTTAATTAAAAAAATATCTGTCCATTTAATTTACTTTTTAGTGCAATTTTGTTGATCTGGTGACTAATAAAATCATTTACCTTAATCAATGTCTATTAAATTTATTGATAACTTGAATAGACATTATCACAGTATTATCATTTATTCGTAATTATTACAAGATTTTTTTCCTGATAACTTTTCGCAATTCAATTCCTCAAATCACAGTCAGTGACCTCAAACATACTAAATCCAAGTTTGAAACAAATTGGCTCATCAATATAAAAGTCTGCCAATTTTATGTTTGTTAAATTCAAGTTGAAACTCATATTTGGCGGCCTTAAACATCCCCAAGTTTAGGATAATCGGTTCATTAGGAAAGTCCGCCTTTTTGATATTTTTATTTTTAAATCAAAAATTGTATTAAGACCACCAAGTTTCTAGTTTGAGACAAATCGGTTCTTAAACGGAAAAGTCCGCCATTTTGATTTCCTTGATTTTTTATCAGAACTCACAATCAGCGACCTCAATTCAACAACCCCCAAGCTTAGGTAAATCTATTCATAAGTATAAGAATAGTAAGATTGTCCCCTATTTTGCTGTTAACTACGAAAGCGTAGAGGGCCACGGTGAAATAAAAAAGACAGTTATATTTTCCATTAGTGCTACTACTAATTGACATTTACATCTGTCAATTAGGCTAATTCCTAGTTCTGTCTGTTAATGCTAATTGACACTTACATCTGTTAATTAATGTTAATTGACATTTACATCTATCAATTAGGTCTAAGTGTCAATTAATTAGTATTAATCGACAGCCAGAACTGGGAATCAGGCTTAATTGACAGTTATACCTAAGGCCAATTAGTAGTAATTGACAGCTAGAACTGGGAATTAGACCTAATTGACAGATGTAAGTAAAAATTAGCACTAATTGACAAATATCACTCTCAATTATATATTTTTTTCACTGTGATCCTTCTACGCTTTCGTAGTTTGCAGTATAAGATTTATCAAAAATTGGAATGATTGACGGAATGTCATCAGATTTGACACTGACTTCCATATTGTTGTATGAATAACTTGTCAAATCAGATACCTCTGTCAAACACTTTAAACGTGAATTAAAAGTTTTGAGTAATGGGGCGCATTATTAGTCAAAAATTGTATTCAGCGACATGTTTAAACAACGCGAAATTTATAGACAACTCGATTAATAAATAAGACTGTTAATTTTCGTCTTCGGAAAAGCGTGATGTAAGCGACGTAATAAGGGAATCCAGATATCGTCGGCCTAAGATGCAAATGGCCTAACTCCACTTTTTACCAAAGGTACGTTTTATTGGCTACCCGGTAGTTAAAGATCTGTACTGTCGATTCGAAATGGCCTGCCAAGCCTATTTTAAATATTCGCGCCAAAATTTACATGACTCATTTTGTATAACCCCTTTACATTAAGATTAGGTCTAAAAGATTTTTTGCGTTTCCTGAAAAATTTATATTTTAGGAGTTAGGCCATTTGCATCTTAGACCGACGATATTTAATAAATATATTCAACCTATAATATTCTTCAACTATATTAGCCTTAATATTATTATTTCTATGAGATTGTTGTTCGTAAGCATAATCTTACGCATTTTTGATTAAGTCGCTAAAAGCCAGGGGGGGGCAGCTGCCCCCCTTGCCTCCCCCAAACGACGCCCATGCATAATGCATATGGCACTACCTAATTTTAGTAAACACGTTAAAGAACACTTATTTTTAAAGCAATGTTCCAACATAGCATAAGACTTTATTTTATTGTAATAGTAACCTTATATTAACTGGGATTGTTTTTTTTCCACTTTTATATTTGTATTGTAATGCGTTTCTTTCTTCTTATATACAAATACTGACTTTGTATTTTTTTTACCTTTTCTTTTTTTTATTATTAAAAAAAAATTTTAATATTATTATTCATAGGTTCAAGAGGAAGAACAGTTTCATACTGATCTTGCACCTTTTCACCAATAATTGTTATGCTCTTCATATTGTAATTTTATTTATTTTTTTTTTTTTGAAAATTGGTGAATAAAGTTTATTTATTATTATTTGTCTGCATACGGAGCGATGTTGCAATTTTTGTATCTATTCCACCTTTTCAAATGGCAGCATCTAATGGACAGTACATTTTTAAATCTTAACACAAGTTTCCTGAAATAATTAGGCAAAAATAAAAGAAAGTATTTTACGTTTCAGCTTCTAAATTCTATAAAAAATGGTGAAAAGTTCATAACTTATAAATATTTGTTAAATATCACTTATTAAAATATTATACATTAAAAGTAAAACTTTCCACCATTCTTTACCGTAATCTAAACCCATTTTTGAAAATATTACCGTTCAGAGTTAATTTTTTGTGATAAAAAAGTCGTCGTCACTTGTCATTGACAACGCGTTGAACTTGGCTTTAAACAAAAAAAAAAAACAGTGATAAACTAAGTTTTTAAAAGCAGCCGACCTATAGAAACATTTAATTTCCACATTTTTATTGCTAAATAAAAAAAAATCCATACACTTTCTAGCAATTTTATTGGAAAATTACAGGAAAACAAAGGTCAATTACAGGTGTACAAATCATAAAATTATTACAATAAATACCCAATTAATAAAAAAAAACAATGATAAAAAAAAATATCACAAATCATACACCTGTAACTGACAAAAAATAAATAAATACATTTGCCTAACAGACAAAACATCCGTTACAATTACAAAATTTCTAATAGTACAAAAACAATCATACAGAAAACAGTTTAATTTACATATAGACCAAGTTTGCACACAAGGTGAAGGTAAATATAATTTTTTTTCGATTTAAAACATTTATTATACATTTATAAACGTTTTAAAACAAAACTTATTATATTTTCAATTATGCATTCTAAAGAAACGATTTATAGAAATTAAAAAGTACCATTAATAATGTGTAAATTTGTATATATGAAAATTATACTAGGCAGTCGTTAAGCCACAAAATAAAACTTCACCCAATCCACTCGCGCTCGGATTCAAACACACTATATTTCAGTCTTTATAGCCTTAAAGTTCATCTCACAATTCATCTTTCAAATCATCATCTTCATCACCGCCAGGTGATGGTGGTGGTGGACCTCCAGCTCCTTGGTACAACTTGGCAATGATCGGTTGAACGACATCTTCCAATTCTTTCTTTTGTTTCTTGTACTCTTCGGATTCCGTATCTTGATTATCTTCCAGCCATTTGATTTTCTCGTCGATGGCTTCTTCCATTTTCGTTTTTTCTTCGTCTGAGAGCTTCGCGCCAAGTTTATCTTTGTCGCCGATTTGGTTTTTGAGGGAGTATGCGTAGCTTTCCAATTCGTTTCTGGCTTCAACTCTTTCTTTGAGTTTCTTGTCTTCGTCGGCGAATTTCTCGGCATCCCTGATCATTCTGTCGATATCGTCTGGAGTTAGCCTGTTTTGGTCGTTGGTGATGACAATCTTTTCTCTGTTACCAGTTCCTGAAATAAAAATAATAAGCAATTAAGTAAAGGGCTTTTCTTTTAATAGTTGCAATTAAATAGACCTTTAAATCAAAATTTTTGAGGAAATACAGGAATTTTTGATATAAGTCACTTTAGAGTATTTGAAAACGATATGTAAAAAAAATTTGTTTTTCAGGCATCGACAAACGTCAAAAAAACAAGAAGATAAAGTGTTTTTTAGAGTTATTTAAAAACGGTAGGTGCTATAAAAAAAGTTCTTAATAAAAATGATAAAGCATAAAGTTTTACATAAAAATAATATTTGACATTTTTTGCTATTATTAAAACTGACAGGGTGGTTAGAAATTAGGAGGAGATATATATGGCTTGGAAAAATCATAGCGAGCTGAAAATTCAATGACTTTGTAGTTTCTTTTTATTATTTACTCAGAAAAATATAAATTTCTTTTAGGAAAAATTATTTTTTTTAATTTATGACAATTTTAATTTGGAAATTTTCAATTAATTGTACGAATTTATATGGTAAATTTTGAAGTAAACTTATTAGCTTGACTGACATGAAAAATATGAGGAGTGAACCAATAAAAACGACATCTCGACAGTTAAGTCCCCACTTGAAGTAAAATTAAATAAATAAAAACAAAAACATAAAAAAGAACTAAATAAAAATATTAAACAAAGTAATGAAAATAAAAATAAATATATCAATAAAAAGGTAAAATAAATAAAAATAAATAAATGAAAATAATAAAAAAAAATAAAAAAACAACAAAAAATAAATAAAAATAATTACAAATAGTTAAAAAAAATTAAGTAAAAATAGATAATTCATTAAAAATAGAAATTAAACAAAACTAAATAAAAATAAATAATAATGAAAAAAAAAAAAATATTTAAAAAAATTAAAAATAAAAATAAAAAATAAATGAAAAGATAAATGTAAAAAAAAAAGAAATAAATAAATATAAATAAAAATAATTAAAACTAAAAAAATAAAAACTAAATAAATAAAAATAATTAAAAAATAAACAAAATTTAAATAAATAAAAATAATAAATAGTTAAAAAAATTAAATAAAATTAGGAAAATTATTAAAAATAAAACAATAAAAATAAATAAAATTAAACAAAAATAAATGAAAAGATAAGTGTAAAAGAAAATAAATAAATAAAAATAATTGAAAAAAATAAAATAAAAAAAAATAAAAATGAAAATAATTACAAATGATTAAAAAAAATTAAATAAAAATAGGTAAATCATTAAAACTAGAAATTAAACAAAAATAAATGAAAAGATAAGTGTAAAAGAAAATAAATAAATTAAAATAATTGAAAAAAAAATAAAAATAATTACAAATGATTAAAAAAAATTAAATAAAAATAGGTAATTCATTAAAACTAGAAATTAAACAAAAATAAATAAAAATAAATAAAAATAAATAAAAATAAATAAAACTAAATAAAAATTAATAAAACTAAAAAATATTTATTTTTATTTATTAATTTTTATTTTTTATTTAGTTTTTATTTTTATTCATTTATTTTTTATTGCTTTTATTTTTTATAAATAAATATTTATTATTTTTATTTATTTATTTATTTTTATTTACTTTCTTTTACATTTATCTTTTCATATATTTTTATTTATTTTTGTATAATTTTTATTTTTAATAAATTACCTATTTTTATTTATTTTTTTAAATTATTTTTATGTATTTTTTATTGTTTTATTTTTAATAATTTACCTAATGTTAAAGAAAATAAATAAAAATAAATGAAAATAAACATATAAAAATAAATAAAAATAATTGTAATTAAAAAATTAAATAAATAAAAATAAATAAAAATAAATTAAAAAATTAATAAAACTAAAAAATATTTATTTTTATTTATTAATTTTTATTAAGTTTTTATTTTTATTCATTTATTTTTTATTGCTTTTATTTTTATTTATTTATTTTTATTTACTTTCTTTTACATTTATCTTTTCATATATTTTTATTTATTTTTGTATAATTTTTATTTTTTAATAAATTACCTATTTTTATTTATTTTTTTAAATTATTTTTATGTATTTTTTATTGTTTTATTTTTAATAATTTACCTAATGTTAAAGAAAATAAATAAAAATAAATAAAAATAAATGAAAATAAACATATAAAAATAAATAGAAATAAATAAAAATAAATAAAAATAAATAAAAATAAATAAAAATAATTGTAATTAAAAAATTAAATAAATAAAAATAAATAAAAATAAATAAAAATAAATAAAAATAAATAAAAATAAATAAAAATAAATTAAAAAATTAATAAAACTAAAAAATATTTATTTTTATTTATTAATTTTTATTAAGTTTTTATTTTTATTCATTTATTTTTTATTGCTTTTATTTTTATTTATTTATTTTTATTTACTTTCTTTTACATTTATCTTTTCATATATTTTTATTTATTTTTGTATAATTTTTATTTTTAATAAATTACCTATTTTTATTTATTTTTTTAAATTATTTTTATGTATTTTTTATTGTTTTATTTTTAATAATTTACCTAATGTTAAAGAAAATAAATAAAAATAAATGAAAATAAACATAAAAATAAATAGAAATAAATAAAAATAAATAAAAATAAATGAAAATAAATAAAAATAAATAAAAATAAATAAAAATAAATAAAAATAAATAAAAATAAATAAAAATAAATAAATAAAAATAAATTAAAAAATTAATAAAACTAAAAACTATTTATTTTTATTTTTTATTTAGTTTTTATTTTTATTAATTTATTTTTTATTGCTTTTTTTATTTTTTTATTTTTTATAAATAAATAAAAATAAATATTTAATATTTTTATTTACTTTCTTTTACATTTATCTTTTCATATATTTTTATTTATTTTTAATAAATTACCTATTTTTGTTTATTTTTTAAATTATTTTTATGTATTTTTTATTGTTTTATTTTTAATAATTTACCTAATTTTATTTTTTTTAAATATTTGTTATTTTTATTTATTTAAATTTGTTTATTTTTTAATTATTTATTTTTATTTATTTTGATTTATTTATTTTTTTTACATTTATCTTTTCTATTATTTTGTATTTGTTATTTTTAATTTTTTTAACTATTTATTCTTTTTATTTATATTTTTTTATTTTTATTTATTTTTGTTTAATTTCTAGTATAAATGAATTACCTATTTTTATTTAATTTTTTTTAATCATTTGTAATTATTTTCATTTTTATTTTTTTTTTATTTTTTTATTTTTTTTCAATTATTTTTATTTATTTATTTTCTTTTACACTTATCTTTTCATTTATTTTTATTGTTTTATTTTTAATAATTTACCTAATTTTATTTGATTTTTTTAACTATTTATTATTTTTATTTATTTAAATTTTGTTTATTTTTTAATTATTTTTATTTATTTAGTTTTTATTTTTTTAGTTTTAATTATTTTTATTTATATTTATTTATTTCTTTTTTTTACATTTGTCTTTCATTTATTTTTTATTATTTATTTTTTATAAATAAAGAAAAATTAATATTTTTTTATTTTTATTTTGTTTTCATTTATTTTTATTTAGTTTTGTTTAATTTCTATTTTTAATGAATTATCTATTTTTACTTAATTTTTTTTAACTATTTGTAATTATTTTTATTTATTTTTTGTTTTTTTATTTTTATTTTTTTTTTATTATTTTCATTTATTTATTTTTATTTATTTTGCCTTTTTATTGATATATTTATTTTTATTTTCATTACTTTTTTTAATATTTTTATTTAGTTCTTTTTTATGTTTTTGTTTTTATTTATTTAATCTAACTTCAAGTGGGGACCAAACTGTCGAGATGTCGTTTTTATTGGTTCACTCCTCATATTTTTCATGTCAGTCAAGCTAATAAGTTTACTTCAAAATTTACCATATAAATTCGTACAATTAATTGAAAGTTTCCAAATTAAAATTGTCATAAATTAAAAAAAATAATTTTTCCTAAAAGAAATTTATAATTTTCTGAGTAAATAATAAAAAGAAACTACAGTCATTGAATTTTCAGCTCGCTATGATTTTTCCAAGCCATATATATCTCCTCCTAATTTCTAACCACCCTAACTGTCAGTTTTAATAATAGCAAAAAATGTCAAATATTATTTTTATGTAAAACTTTATGCTTTATCATTTTTATTAAGAACTTTTTTTATAGCACCTACCGTTTTTAAATAACCCTAAAAAAACACTTTATTTTCTTGTTTTTTGACGTTTGCCAGTGCCTAAAATTTTTTTACCTATCGTTTTTAAATACTCTAAAGTGAATTATATCAAAAATTCCTGTATTTCCTCCAAAATTTTGATTTAAAGGTCTATTTGATTGGACTATAAGTAGAATGTAAAGTACCGCTCCTGTCCCAAGTTGGATCTCAAATCGAGCACGTACAGTTTTAGTATATAAAATACTAAGTATTTTATATACTAAAACTGTACGTGCTCGATTTGAGATCCAACTTGGGACAGGAGCGGCACTTTCCATACTACTCTTTTACTTATATATTATTTTCCAATAGTATTTTCATTTTTAAAACAAAAATAAATACTGTATCTTATCTTCTGCTTTTTTTTTATTTTAAAGAAACCTATGTCAATAATTATCAATCGAAACTTACCCTTATCTTCAGCCGATACTTGCAAAATACCATTAGCATCGATTTCGAAGGTGACTTCGATTTGCGGTACACCTCTGGGAGCGGGTGGAATTCCGGTTAGATCGAATTTGCCCAACAAATGGTTGTCCTTGGTCATGGGACGTTCGCCTTCGTACACTTGAATAGTTACAGTGTGTTGATTGTCGGATGCGGTGGAGAAGATTTGAGATTTCTTAGTAGGAATAACGGTGTTACGTGGGATCAGTTTGGTCATAACTCCACCGACGGTTTCGATACCTGAAACGATTAAAGTATGTTAGATTATAATTATATGAGACAGAAAATATACAAGTTGCTCTCGAGTAGGTTACATTATTTACGAACATTATCATCCAAAGTTTTTTTGTCATAAAGTGAAAAAAATGAAAGAAAATTACATTTCACAGGTTTGCTGCAGAGGCAGAAACACTGTTATTCTATTACCAATAGCAAAGTCTTGTTGAGAAGTCATGAAATTAGCTTTTGAAAAATTAAAAAAAATAGGTTTTTGAATTTTAGACAAGGTAAACTCATTCAATGACCAAATATTTAAAAATCGTGAATGGTTCAATTCCTCAAATGTGGCCAGCTTCATAAAACTCAAAATCTGTACCACACATGTATTAATATTATTTTTTGCATTTATTTTACAGCCAACAGAATGTGATTTATGAAATTGAACTTTCAAGTATGTAGAAGATCATCCTGTATGATCGATTTTGATGAGATTTGGACAGTATTGTCAAGTTTGACATGAGTGATATTTGAAATAATATTGTAGAGCTATATTAATAAAGCTTATTCGAGCTAATACTCTCATATTTTATTACAATGGCGCAGTCAAGTGAAAATATTATCCGAATCGACTATGAGGAGACCGCAGGTGAAAAAGAAAAAGACCAGAACATAATTTTTGGAAAGAACGAACTAGACAAAATGATGTCGAAGTGGCTGTCAATAGAAACTAGACCGGAGATGGTGAAAATACCGATGTTTGATGGTTTGGGCGAGAATCCACTGGCCTGGATGAACTCATATGAGTTTGCATGTCTTTCGAATGAATGGAATTCAACAGCTGAGAAGATCTTCCACCTTAGAGGTCAACTAACAGGCGTAGCACTAAGTTGGTATGAAGAGAAGGTTCAGATCACAGCAATGAATGAGTTTCAGTGGGAGGAATGAAAGAAGGAGTTCATCGAAACATTCGATGAAAATTACATTGTTAAATGGGAAAAGGCATTGGCATTAAAATATCATTATGGAAATATATTAGAATATTTTTTCGAAAAGCAAAGGTTACTTAAATGGGCAGATGATACCATTTCTGAAAGATCTTTGATAGCTTTAGTTATTTTGGGACTTCCTACAACCATGCAAAGGCAGCTCAGTGGTAAAGAAATTAATTCGAAGCAGGAGTTACTACAAAATTTAAAATATTTAAAGATTGAGAAATTCTGCAGTGCTCCAGGTTATCAGGAGAACGGGTTGCCAAAGAATACTCAAACACATTTCAAAAAGAATCACACGTGGAAGCCAGTAGAAAAAAGGGACACTAATAGAAAAACAGAAGATGAGGCACAAGGAGCAGGTTTGAAGGACAATTTTTCTAGAAACTACTGCAATGAAATAGTTAACAATGATGTTGATGAGAAAGAAATACAGTATTTTGAAAATGTTGGACCTGTATTAGTATATGATAAAAAACTAAAGGCTTTGTTAGACACTGGTTCAGAACTAGATATAATTAATGAAAAAGTAGTTGATAGGTATAAATTTCCAAAATTTAAGAAAAATGTCAATATCAGAAGTCTAGCGGGAATAACAAGATGCTCTTAAGAATCCAGATAAATATAAATGGGAACGAAAAAGAAATAAATCCTGTTATTGTTGAAGATATGTTATTTGACATGATAATAGTTCGAAAAACCCTAAATAATTTGGAGATTTTTCATAATAAAGTAAAACATCTTATATCTGAAGAGAGTATAAGAAAATCATTCCCAAATGTTTTAAATTATAATGATAGTAACCCCAGTAATTATAGTACAAATTTTGATTTAAAAGAATGTGCAAAAATTGTAAGATTAAAGCCATATAGACATTCTATAGAAAAGAAGAACTGGATTAAAGAAAAAATTAAAGAATTAATTGAAAGAGACATTATTACAAAATCTGATTCTCCGTGTGCCTCACCTTGTGTACTTCAGATGAAGGCTGATGGGACTTATAGATTTTGCATAGACTATAGGAAAATTAACGAAGAAACACACCTAGATCCTTTCCCGTTTCCCATGATTGATGATATTATCGAAACTTTCGGCGGATGTAAATATTTTTCTAAAATAGATTTAAAAGATGGATTTTGGAATATTATCCTTTCGGAACATACTAGGAAATACACAGCTTTTATAACTGAAGAAGGGCATTTTGAATTTAAAAGATTACCTTTTGGATGGAAAAATTCAAGCGCTAGATTCCAGAGTATAATGCAAGAAGTATTAGGAGACTTATTGGAAAAAAAAAGCTTAGTATACATCGACGACATGATTTGATTCAGACGAGTGTCAGGCAAACAGTCTTGGAATTTTAAAGAGATTAAATGACAACAATTTTAAAATAAATTTGAAAAAATGCATATTTTGTGTAAGAAAAGTTATATTTTTAAGAAGAGAAATAGATGGTAATATAAAAAGAATGAAAAAAGAAACTGTAGAAAAGGTACAAAATATGAAGAAACCAACTGATTTAAAATCTTTACAGTGTTTCACTGGTCTTACTAATCATTTTAGAAGTTTCATTAAGGATTATAGTAAGATTGCCGAACCGTTAGAAGAACTCAAATCAAAAAATAAAAAATTTATTTGGAGTGAAAAATGTGAAGAAGCATTCCAAAATTTAAAAACAATTATTACTTCAGAACCGATTCTTCGATTACCAGATCCAAAATTAAAATACGAACTAGCTACAGATGCGTCATACTATGGGTGTGGGGCTATCCTATATCAAACAGATGAGAACGAGACTAAAAATAGACAACTCCGAGTTATAAGCTACTACTCATATACCTTTTCTAAAAGTGAGCTAAACTATTCAGTTACAGAAAAAGAGTGCCTAGGAGTGGTCAAGGCGGTCAAACATTTTAGAATATATTTAGAAAATAAACACTTTGTTGTTCATACTGATCATCGAGCTTTAACTCAACTTCTTAGAGACCGTTTGGCAAGATGGCAATTATTTTTATCGAGTTTTGACATGGAGGTAAATCATAAGAGTGGCCAAGAATTAAAAGATAGTGATGCGATTTCAAGGTTATGTATTGAAATGCCGAATGAAACAAATGATTCCTTTTGGTGTAATTTAATGGTGGAAGATCTAGAAAAGTTAGAAGATGGCAGGTATTTAGTAAAGTCTCCTAGAATGGTAAAAGAAATATTAATGATGTATCACGATGATCCGATCTCAGGTGGGCATGACGGTTATTATAAGACATACTATAAGTTAAAAAGAAGATTTTTCTGGAATTCTATGGCAAAGCAGATAAGAGAGTATGTGAAAACTTGTCGAATATGTCAAATTAATCTAAACCAGATTTTATACACATCTCACAATGTTCTGAAATTCCATTTGAAACTGTACATATTGACTTTGGGGAAGTGAGTAAAAAGTCGGATTTAAATCAAACCACAAAATCGTTTGTTATTGTTATAGATGAAGCTTCACGATATGTTTTTGGCAAATCATTAAAAGAGAGTAGCAGAGCCCTTATAGATTATTTAAATAAAATTCCTTATATTCACCAAATAAAGAACATCGTTTCAGATTGTGGAAAAGCTTTTAAATCTGAAGAATTTCGAAATTTTGCAATAAGTAAGAATATAAAGTTAATTCACACTAGTCCTTATCATCCAAGGAGTAATGGTATTGCCGAACGAGCCATAAGGGACGTAAAAACTTACTTAAAATGCTACTCTGAACTCACTGGTGGCTGGAAAAAGGGATTAGAAGCAGCGATACAGCACCATAATTATTCACATAATGAGTATTTAGGCTGCTCACCAAATTTTAAACTGTTTGGAAAGGCACCTATGTTACTAGCAGATAAATATAAAAAATACACACAACAACAAGCAAACAAAAACAAAAAACTTAAACCGCCAAATTTAAGAATTGGAGATCATATTTTAACAAGGCATCAAAAAATTGGGAAAGAATTTGTTGTCAAGGGACCTTTTGAAGTTACTAAAGTTAAAACCTTTAATGGAATAGTGTCATCGGTGAATTACTACAATTGAAGGCATAGAGGAATCTGTGCATGTTTCTTATTTAAGAAAATATCATCCCAGGAGTGATGACTTCATGAGGGAGGGGTTAGATGTAGAAGATCATCCTGTATGATTGATTTTGATGAGATTTGGACAGTATTGTCAAGTTTGACATGAGTGATATTTGAAATAATATTGTAGAGCCATATTAATAAAGCTTATTCGAGCTAATACTCTCATATTTTATTACAAAGTACATTTACGATTACAAGAAACAGGCACTTAAAGAAATTTCACCCAGAATTCACTGGACATATTATGTGTCCAATTTGCACCAATATGAAGAATTTTTCTTAATATAATTATTTAAACAAATGTTTGCTTGATATTCACCATATATCTATTAAAGAATGTTTTAAATTTGAAGAATTTACATCTTGAAGAGCACAGGAAAATAATGAAATTAATTATGCTTGTCAGACAAGAAACAAATTTAAAAATGGTGAAGAACGCATATTTTACAATTGTAATAGAAGTGATTTCAAAGGTTGTATCAACTTTTACTCGTTAAACATGTGTTTTTCATAAATTTTTTTTAGGACTTAATGGCTCATGTAAAGTACGAAATATAAAATCTGGGGGAAGTATTCGCAGCCAAGGAACGTATCTTTCAAGAATTCTAGAGAAAGTATTAACAACGAAGACTAGAGGTAAGGAGGCGAATCGGCCTTGGTCAATTTTCAAATTTCCGTCCCTATTTTTATGGAGTTCCAAAAAACTACTGTAGTTGGCGGATGGCAAAATAACAACGTCTATGTTCTATGCAAGTCAATGGGAATTAAAGTAATTTTTGTAAAATTTAGTGAAAAGAATAAAAATAAGCTGAAATAAAGAACTTGACTACATGTAACAATGAGTAACAATAAACGGCAAAGCAGGATTTGCTTCGTTGCGGGTTGAAAAACGGGATATAAATCCGATATAAAATTAAAGAAA